TCTTCATCAACATTTAACAATTCCTCAAAATATTCCCTCCATCTTCCCAATACCTCTAACTCTCCATTTAATAACTCTCCTCTCCTATTTTTAACTGACAAATCCATTTGTTCTCTAGGCTTCCTTAACTTGTTAATCTCACTCCAAAACTTTTTCTTATTTTCAACAAAATTTGTTGATAACATCTCACCCACTCTCTCATCTGCTCTCTTTTTACATTGCTTCACCACTCTCTTAACCTCTCTCTTTTTCTCCATATACTCTTCCCTCCTTGCATCACTTCTACTTTGTAAAAACTTCTCATATGCTAACTTTTTCTCCCTTACTACTCTCTTTACATCATCATTCCACCAATCGCTCCTCTTCCCTCCCACACCCACTTTCCTGTAACCACAAGCTTCTGCTGAACACTCTAACACTACATTTTTAAACCTACCCCATACCTCTTCGACCCCATTGCCTATGCTCCCATTAGCCCATCTATCCTCCAATAGCTGTTTATATCTTACCCTAACTGCCTCCTCTTTTAGTTTATAAACCTTCACCTCTCTCTTCCCTGATGCTTCTATATTCTCCTTGTATCCCATCTACCTCTTACTCTCAGTGTAGCTACAACTAGAAAGTGATCTGATATATCTGTGGCCCCTCTATAAACATGTACATCCTGAAGTCTACTGAACAGTCTTCTATCTACCAATACATAATCCAACAAACTACTGTCATTTCGCCCTACATCATATCTTGTATACTTATTTATCCTCTTTTTCTTAAAATATGTATTACCTATAACTAAACCCCTTTCTATACAAAGTTCAATCAAAGGGCTCCCATTATCATTTACACCTGGCACCCCAAACTTACTTACCACACCCTCTCTAAAAGTTTCTCCTACTTTAGCATTCAGGTCCCCTACCACAATTACTCTCTCACTTGGCTCAAAGGCTCCTATACATTCACTTAACATCTCCCAAAATCTCTCTCTCTCCTCTGCATTCCTCTCTTCTCCAGGTGCATACACTTATTATGACCCACTTTTCGCATCCAACCTTTACTTTAATCCACATAATTCTTGAATTTACACAATCATATTCTCTTTTCTCCTTCCATAACTGATCCTTCAACATTACTGCTACCCTTTCCTTTGCTCTAACTCTCTCAGATACTCCAGATTTAATCCCATTTATTTCCCCCCACCGAAACTCCCCTACCCCCTTCAACTTTGTTTAACTCAGGGGCAGGACATCCAACTTCTTTTCATTCATAACATCAGCAATCATCTGTTTCTTGTCATCCGCACTACATCCACGCACATTCAAGCATCCCAGTTTTATAAAGTTTTTCTTCTTCTCTTTTTTAGTAAATGTCTACAGGAGAAGGGGTTACCAGCCCATTGCTCCCGGCATTTTCGGCGCCTCATACGACACGCATGGCTTACGGAGGAAAGATTCTTTTCCACTTCCCCTTGGACAATAGAAGAAATGAAGAACAAGAGCTATTTAGAAAAAGGAGAAAAACCTAGATGTATGTATATATATATGCATGTGCGTGTCTGTGAAGTGTGACCAAAGTGTAAGTAGGAGTAGCAAGATATCCCTGTTATCTAGCATGTTTATGAGACAGAAAAAGAAACCAGCAATCCTACCATCATGCAAAACAGTTACAGGTTTCTGTTTCAGTCATCTGGCAGGACGGTAGTACTTCCCTGGGTGGTTGCTGTCTACCAACCTACTACCTACTACAGGAATGATGATTGCCTTAATTAGATCATCTGATTTCAGTAGTATTATATTCAAGGGAAGTGCTAAACCTGCAGTTGCTGGGCAATGGAAGGTGATCCGGGTTGATATAAGGCAGCTCTAGTTCCTTTAAGAATCTTTTACCAGCATCATCCTTCAAGAGGTTCCTTGCTATTGCTTGTGCTGGTAGGGTTTGTCAGCTTGTAAAGGCCTCTCTCCATTATTATTATTATCAAAAAGAAGTGCTAAACCTACAAGGGTCATACAGTGCAGCAGGGCAGGGGTATTGGGTAGCAAGAGGGAGAGGGATTATTATTAGGTTATGGAGGGCAGTGGATAGTGCAGGGGTAGAGGGTAGCAAGAGATTGAGGTAGAAAGGGCTGTGAGGAGTGCTAGAGGTATTATCAGAGTTTGTGCAGTAAATCAGTTGCTGTCAAAAAAGTCAATAAGAGCATCTGGGTTAAAGGAGAGTCCATCAACAAGAAGGGAAGGTAAATTAAGGGCAGCAGAGCAGTAGGGACAGTCTAACAGAAACTGGAACCTGGCAATTCTCACGAAGTGGAACAGGGCACCTCCCCGCGAGTAAGAAGAGTGTGGCCGATGCAAAGACGGGAGAGAGTAGGCTCCCATTCTTGACACTGATGACAAGAAGACAGCTCGATACCTATACTTGGTTTAATAGAATGTAATTTATGTAGCAGAGCAGACCAACACTGTTGCCAATGGATGCAAAGGTGGGTAGCAATTACAACAAAATAGTCTGTGAATGGGACACCTCTATATGAAACTGGGAGGTCATGTACTGCTGACCACGCAGCAGTGTCTGCCTGTTCATTGCCCCATATGTCAACATGACTGGGGACCCAACAAAAAACAGGCCTTTCTCCAATGCACTATTAACCCTTAAACTATGTTCAACATGACTCACGAAATCGTAATGACACGATTGCAAACAAACCATACTACAGGTGGGGTTTGAACCCATGGTCAGAGTCTCAAAACTCCAGGCCGTCGTGTTAGCCACTGGGCTAGCTAGCTTAAGATTCTTCCAACTAGGTATATTCCTACACCATAGAAAGATTAGCATAGGCACCACTGTGACCATAAATGCAAGTTTTTACAGACGAATCTCCCGCTAGCATGGCTGTAACGAACTCTAGCTCAAGTCCCCTCAAAGCTAGCCCAGTGCTAACATGACAGTCTGGAGTTTTGAAACACTCTGACCGCGGGTTCAAACCCCACCTGTGGTATGGTTTGTGTTCAACATACATGTACTAGTACGTAGCTGACGATTCTGTGTCCAACGTGTTAGTACACATTTTTCATGTTCAAATGTGTACTAGTACACAATGAAATCAGAAACTGTTGTTCCACCACCACATTACCTACCAGCAAATGGGGTGGAAGTGGCACAAAGATGACTTATTCATTCCAGATTTATTACAATTTCATGATACTAATAGTGGAATTCAGCCACAAAGCACACTAAGTAGATTTAATCCAGGATAACCCAATAAATCCAAACAATGCAACTTATTTCCATGTTTCAATGAGTATTACACCTTGAAACAACTGTATTATAGAATTTTGTTGTAAATATATGTTTTACAGTAGTCTGGAAGGCACAGAGGTGTTATGGACACAATATTTATAAAACCCAGGATATTCTCTCGAACCTATGTTTTTTGTTTTTAACACTAGTCATCTTCCACCAAGGGAAGGGTGACCCAAAACAGAAACTCATCATCATTCACACTCACTGTCTTGCCAGAGGTGCATAGATACTACAGTTCAGGTGCCCCTCCAAACTACAGATATCCCCACCCCTCCTTTAGAGTACAAGCACTGTACTTCCCACCTCCAGAACTTCAAGTCCAGCTAACAGGTTTCCCCGAATCCCTTCATATATGTTATGTCGCTCACACTCCAACAGCTTGTCAGGTACCAAAAGTCATTTGCCTCCACTCCTACCTAACATGTTCTCACATGCCTGCTGGATGTCCAAGGTCCTTGCACACAAAACCTCCTTTACCCCCTCCCTCCAAACTGCAAACATAATACAAAATACTGTACTGTAAATTATTAATGAAGAAAGCAGTTCATGATAATTTTAATTAAATAATGTCTAATGTAAATACAGTATTTTGATAAATGTTTATGTACTGGCTTTGTTCAGCACAAAAAGATACTATGAATAGATAATATAGTCAGTAGCTGAATGAAAAAAATTGGCCTTTTCTGAAGAATTGCTGCTCTTTAGGATGGATATCCCAAGGATTCCATTAAATAAGAATTGCTGGTAGCCAAGAAAACATACTATATGACTGAATGAACCTTGGAAGTTACCTTCTAGGAAAAATGTGTTAGTTTTACCTTGCAGTGAGAACTCAGCATAATCAAGTGGCAGTTTTTGTATTAGAGAAACCACTTAAGAGCCAATCCAAAACCCATTAGAGCTGGTGTTTAACATAGCCTAAAATAATTAAATAAAAATCATTAAAAGCATTAGCATTTTTAATCAAATAGTATGTGGTGAATTATTAGATGCCTACAGTGTGCACAAGAGCAAGAGGTAATAGATCTGAGGAAAAGGATTCTTCATTTTCACTACCATTTAATTTTATGAAAAATGAATGCTGCCTAGTACACACTTTCAGCTACTTAGTCTAATATAGTCCTTTTATCACAGTATATATAGTTTTGCTTAGCTAGTGAAATCATGTGAACACCTGTGCAAATTCCTTTCCCCATAATATAATTTAATACCTTTTGTTAAAAACTAAATGAAAAGTTTGACTTGAAAAACAGAATGCCTAATGGAATAAATAAACTAGACACTTCAATACTCCTACCTCTTCACGAGAGAAAAATAAAGGTTTATAAAAACAATACTATAACTTATTCAATGTAATATAGTTGGTAAATGAATTTTAAAAGGAACCTAAACTTGGAATGCGGCAAGAATTTTCAGGAACATTAAATGTAGAGATAATGCAGATAATTTAAGTCAAAATTAAGTGCCACACTAGGCAACTTTTTATATAAGTTAGGTCATTGCTAATTGGTAAATAAAAGCAAACATTACATAAATATTGCTTATATTGTTATAACGATGTGCAATTTATGAATGAAATACACAGATATATATATATATATATATATATATATATATATATATATATATATATATATATATATATATATATATATATATATATTATATATATATATATATATAAATATATATATATATATATATATATATATATATATATTATAGTTTATATGTATATTTGTGTATGGAAAATGCAACAGTGAATAAGTAACAAAACAGACATACTGTATTTCTGTTCTGTTATTTTTCACTAGTATTTTTTCACATTTGCAGTTACGCATATTACTGAGATTTGTGTATGTGTACTGTGTGTATGAATGTATGCATGTATGTATATATGTATGCATGTATGTATGTAAACAAATCTCTGATGTATAAAAGCATCTGAATAAACTGATAATGAATCTCTTTCCTAACAAATCTGTAGCCATCTTGAGTGTCAAACCTAATAGGCAACGACTTTCAAGCGTGAAGTTGCTTACAAAAGACTGAAGCTCTGTGATCATAATTTAAATTAGATTCCAAATTCTGAGCTCTAGATTGGTTCTTATAGTGTAGTCTGGATCTCTTTTTCAACAAGTGTTCGATATTCATCAAAGCCGCCTTCCATGCAACGAACTTTCTTTTCCCCACACACCCACAGCTCTGTGCACACCATCCGGATGAGGCGCTCATCGTGGGACACAAGCACTACGCCGCCCTGCACAAAATATAAATAATCACAGTTCAGTTATCTATCATCTCTGTAATTCCTGAAAATACAGCAAGCCTTCAATTTTACAGACTAGAAATTTTTTAACTGGAAATATGGAACAAAATCCCTATGGAATAAAATTCTCTGAGTCCCTTGATCTGAAAAATAGTGGCAAAGTCTGTTGGTTACAGGATTGTCCATTATTGTTACAATCATGGCAAAACAATCTCATCTCTATCTATCACAACCTCCATTACCAGCCACCCACTCCCCCTTCCCCCATTAATTTGGTAAATTGAAAATTTAATGTACATACGATGGTTTCAAACTTACAACTTAAAAAAACAAATCATCAGAGTATGTAATACCATTAATATGCTTTTGAAAAATCTTAAATTTTACTGATTTACATTACAATAATGTGGATAAAGGAAGATATAAAAAGCAAAACAAAAGGGCAGAATGAATAGCATTTCATAAACTTGGAACACCTATTAATGTCAACACCAAGCATTCTAATATTACAGCCTCTCCTCACTTAGCAACGTACAGTGGACCCCCGCATACCGATTTTAATCCGTGCAAGAGGGCTCATTGGTATGCGAAATAATCGGTATGCGAATGAATTTTCCCCATAAGAAATAATGGAAATCAAATTAATCCGTGCAAGACACCCAAAAGTATGAAAAAAAAAATTTTACCACATGAAATATACATTTTCCTACACACAAAGAGAAGGATACATGCACAATAGTAGAGTAGTACATGCACAGTATATATTGTGCATGTACTAGTCTACTAAATGAAGAATAAATGACACTTACCTTTATTGAAGATGCAGCAATGACTGATGAGACACTGTGTCCTGGGAGTGCCTTTTCCTCCTGAGTACTGTAGGTCCTGTTTGGCATTTTCTTCCAGAACATGCCTTATCACACTGTGTATGTCACTACGATTCTTAAATCTCTCAAACCAACCTTTGCTGGCTTTAAATTCACCAATATGAGCACTAGTTCCAGGCATTTTTCCCTGTTCACCTGGGTGTTAGTCGACTGGTGTGGGTTGCATCCTGGGAGACAAGATTAAGGACCCCAATGGAAATAAGTTAGACAGTCTTCGATGACACTGACTTTTTTGGGTTATCCTGGGTGGCAAATCCTCTGGGGTTAATTGTTTCTTGGTATATTCTCAATAAGCCACACCAACAACAGTGCTACAGCAGCAGCAGACGATGCTACAGCAGCAGCAGACGATGCTACAGCAGCAGCAGACGATGCTACAGCAGCAGCAGATGATGCTACAGCAGCAGCAGCAGCAGACGATGCTACAGCAGCAGCAGACAATGCTACAGCAGCAGCAGCAGCAGACGATGCTACAGCAGCAGCAGCAGCTGACAGTGCTACAGCAGCAGCAGACGATGCTACAGCAGCAGCAGACGATGCTACAGCAGCAGCAGACGATGCTACAGCAGCAGCAGCAGCTGACAGTGCAGCAGCAGCAGCAGCTGTACCACCAATAGTAGCGATGGTTGATTGGGGTTTATTATACAACCTGGCCAGCTCGGAGACACGCACTCCACTTTCATACTTATCAATGATCTTCTTCTTCATCTCTATAGTAATTCTCACCCTTATTTCTGTAGGGTTGGCACTAGAAGCTTTCTTGGGGCCCATGGTCACTTATTTTCCAGATAAAATCACCAAAAACACTGTAATAATACGAAATGTTACGATTGTATGCTTGGATTCTACCGCGGAGGCTGGCTGGTAAACAATGCCACCGGCGGAACATGTGAGGCTGGCTAAGGCGCACACTGGACGCGTCTCGGACGAACAGCGGTGAGCGGGTTTTTGAGCGGTATGCGAGGCAAAATTTTTGCGATTAAAGTGAGCGGTATGCGGAATAAACGGTATGTGATGCCAACGGTATGCAGGGGTCCACTGTACTTGATTACGTACAGGTGGCCTGGTGGCTAAAGCTCCCGCTTCACACACGGAGGGCCCGGGTTCAATTCCCGGTGGGTGGAAACATTTCGACACGTTTCCTTACACCTGTTGTCCTGTTCACCTAGCAGCAAATAGATACCTGGGTGTTAGTCGACTGGTGTGGGTCACATCCTGGGGGACAAGATTAAGGACCCCAATGGAAATAAGTTAGACAATCCTCGATGACGCACTGACTTTCTTGGGTTATCCTGGGTGGCTAACCCTCCGGGGTTAAAAATCCAAACGAAATCTTATCTTATCTTACTGACGACTCAAACTTACAATGGGCTCTCTCACCAGTATGCATACCTAAATAATGTATATTAGAGCTGAGTTCCTCTATTCTGTTTGTTACAATATACAGCACACCACTGTATAAACATTTAAAATATACTAAAAATGTTATCAATGGTGCAAAAGTGACATTAAAACAATATCAAAGATGGTTGACACCAACCCACCACCATTATAGTATGCCTCTTGCTTAGCGAAGAATTCGTTTACCAACATGGTCTTAGGAACGGAACTCCATTGTTAAGTTAGGAGAGGGTGTATAGTGCAATACTGTGAAAAAAAGTTTCATTTCCTACCACAATTCACCTCCTCTTTATAGTTATCAGTTACTGAGAAGGGAGTATCCATTCAATGCTCTGGCATCTTAATCACATTCTACAATATGCATGCCTTGTGACAGAAGATTTTTTAACCAATTTCCCCAATGGGAACAAATAACAATAATAAATAAAAAATAAAAATCTTTTTCTTTCTTCTTCTTTCAAAACACTGGCAGTATCCCACCGAGGCGGTGTGGCCCGAAAAGAAAACCGAAAGTTTCTCATTATAAATTTAGTAATGTATACAGGAGAAGGGGTTACCAGCCCCTTGCTCCGGCATTTTAGCTGCTTCTTACAACACATGTGGCTTATGGTGGAAGGATTCTTCACTCCCCATAGAGATATAATTATATTTATGGGTAATGTTAAACCACTAGAGGTCATACTGCAACTGGGAAAAGGGAGTATAAATACAATCCTTTAATCAAGAGCCCACACCAGCATCAAGGGAACTCACTTGACAGGTTATTTTCTCAAGATGGATAATAAATGACTGACTGTAATGATGTTAATGATAATGAACATGCAAACAGCAATTATTACTACAATACATTAATGTGGGAAGCACTAAACCCATAGAAGTTATACAGTGCCTGGGTAAATGGATAGAAGGCATTCAAATTTAGTCCAAGGATGAAAAGTTCCTTACCACATTCAAGAACCTTCCTTGAGGGGATGCAAAAAGGAAGACGGCTGTCATTTGATAGACAGAGACATACTTAGAACCTGTTGCCTCCATTATCACAAGGCTTGTGGTAGATAAATATTGTCTTGAAAATGTCATTATCACATTGTGTCAGGTTATCTGCCAAACGTTACTAAACACACAATAATAAGCTGTGAACTGTGTTCTTTCTCTACTGAAGAGGTCTTCAGGTTTAGGCCTATATATATTTTTTTTTTTTTTAACAAACAGGCCGTATCCCACCAAGGCAGGGTGGCCCAAAAAGAAAAACAAAAGTTTCTCTTTTTAAATTTAGTAATTTATACAGGAGAAGGGGTTACTAGCCCCTTGCTCCTGGCATTTTAGTCGCCTCTTACAACACGCATAGCTTACAGAGGAAGAATTCTGTTCCACTTCCCCATGGAGATAAGAGGAAATAAACAAGAACAAGAACCAGTAAGAAAATAGAAGAAAACCCAGAGGGGTGTGTATATATATACAGTGGACCCCCGCATAACGATTACCTCCGAATGCGACCAATTATGTAAGTGTATTTATGTAAGTGCATTTGTACGTGTATGTTTGGGGGTCTGAAATGGACTAATCTACTTCACAATATTTCTTATGGGAACAAATTCGGTCAGTACTGGCACCTGAACATACTTCTGGAGTGAAAAAATATCATTAACCGGGGGTCCACTGTATATGCTTGTACATGTATGTGTAGTGTAACCTAACTGTAAGTAGAAGTAGCAAGACGTACCTGAAACCTTGCATGTTTATGAGACAAAAAATGGACACCAGCAATCCTAACATCATGTAAAACAATTACAGGCTTTTGTTTTACACTCACTTGGCAGGACGGTAGTACCTCCCTGGGCGGTTGCTGTCTACCAACCTACTACCTAGGATGTATTACTCATTTTTTTTTATTGCTATATAGTATTTATTTTCTCCATGTGGGTTTATCTGTGCCAATGTGATAAGTTTGTTGATTATAGCTTCATATTAGTGACAATCTCTAGTGGGCTGCAGATGTGTTAGTGCAAAAGTTGGTATCTGAGGATTAGATAACTGCTAACTGCATGCAGAATTACATCATTCATTTATAAATTTGCTTAAAATAAATTCAGAGATTAAAATATGGAAATTAAAAACCAACCTTGAATTTCTGAATTGCTTCTCCTAAGGCTTCAATTGTTTCTATGTCCAGGTGATTGGTAGGCTCATCAAGTATAAAGAAGTTTGGATTTCCCATGCACATAAGAGAAAATGCTACACGTGATTTCTGTCCTCCTGACAGACTAGCTACTTGCTGCAGTGCCAAATCTCCACTGACTCCAAAGGAACCAAGTTGGCGGCGGTACTCTTCAATGGGCTTTCCTGAAATAAAAATCACAAAAACTTAAGAAAATTGTACAATGTAATGCAAAAGGAAGATGACAGCAACATTGATCGGCTCAGCAGGTAACCACAACTGAATCTCTCCAGCACAGCCTATAGCAAATTACAACAACAATTTCACTATCTGTCATTCAGTGATGATGATGATGATGATGATGATGATGATGATGATGATGATGATGATGATGATGATGATGATGATGATGATGATGATGATGAGAATGATGATGATGATGATGATGTGATGAGATGATGATGATGATGATGATGATGATGATGATGATGATGATGATGATGATGATGATGATGATGATGATGATGATGATGATGATGATGATGATGATGATGATGATTGATGATGATGATGATTGATGATGATTGATGATGATTGATGATGATTGATGAATGATGATGATTGATGATGTGATTGATGATGATTGATGATGATTGATGATGATTGATGATGATTGATGATGATTGATGATGATTGATGATGATGATGATGATGATGATGATTGATGATGATTGATGATGATTGATTATGATGATTGATGATTGATGATGATGATGATGATGAACACTGCTGGTCTGCTCAGGCAGACTCCACACTGGAGGGCAAGACATTTTTACCTTGGTGACTGATATGTAGTCCAACTGCATCCAGTGTTCTTGGTTGCCTGTTGGAGGACATATACAGTGCTTGACATCTCAATGCAGATAAGACAGCCCTATGACCTGCTGATATGCACTGTACAGATGGAAAGCTTTGTTCCAGTGCCAGCACATACCTTGGTTCTGCATATCAGCTCCTTGTGTGGCTCAGAGGAGAGCTGCCCCTCCTACATAGAAACTGTTACATGCTTATTATGCTATTTGGCAATGATATCTTCTATGCCTGACCACTGATCTCCCATGCCATGAAACCAGTCTTATCCACTGCAGCCATCTTATCCTGGTTGGACTTCATAAAAATTAAAACTCCAGGGTTTAGGTCAATTCTTTCTGGAGTTTAGTTGGTCAAGTCTGCTTTGCCATCATCTTCAAAACCAAATGTCAAAGAATAGGTTATCTAAGTTTACAGTCAACAGTTCTGGCAAAGCAGTTTGATATGATCAAACAGCCATGCCCTCCAGATCTTCATGAGCTGCTGTATTTTCTACTTTCCTCTTGTACCTGGTCCTAAATTTGACCCTGAACCCTCATTCTGATGAGAAATGCAGTAACATCTCTTATAGATTATCCAAAAAGTCTGGTAGAGGTGCTGCCCCTCTGAGCCTGGATCTCCAGTGCTGATTCCTTCAGTCTCGTGGCCAGTTGCAAAGCACACGCTCCACCAGGGTAGTAACAAAAATAAGAAGGCACAGTAGGAAATTACACACCCAAATCAGCCACAAGGATATCAGACATGTCTTCAATGCTATTTTGAAGTATTTGTTTCTTCACAAAGATACTTTCTGCAATCAAATTATAAAGGGTATACAATGCCAAGAAGGTGATAAGTTAAGACACATGACATATATCTACAAGTGAATACTTTCATCACAGCATTTGTTACAATAAAATCTCAGTACACACCTGGATATTTGCTCTGCAAGAGTTCCACTGAGCAGACTCTTAGATCTAACTGGTCCACATGATGCTGAGTGAAGTAACCTATTCTCAAAGACCTGGGCATAAAGAAAAATATATACACAATTGAAGAAAATATACACAAAAGCCACAAATACAACAAATACAGTGCATTACCTGGTACCTAGTGTAAAGTATTTACAAACATAATCAGTACAATTTAACAGTGTACTCAATACTTGAAACTATTATCATAAGGAAGCATTGAACCCAAAAGGGTCTTACTGGGACTGGAGAATGGGAGGCAATCAAATCTGATCTGAAGGGAAAAATTCTTTGGAACAAGAACTGGTCACCAGCATCATGACACCTCTTTTAAAAGAATACCTGGGAAATGTGTCAACAGGTAGGTCTAGGATCAGTCACATAGCAAATATAAGAAACAAGATTACAAGAGTTTTCAGGAGTCAAGAACATGGAATAAGAAAGCTTGTTTGCCAGTCCAAGAAGCAGATGATTCCAGCAAACTCCTGCCCGCCGACCAACAATAAATTTTCATCAACTATCAACTCAATAAAATCAAAAGATAAAGCAAACTAATTGCTGAAAACATTATTTATAACTTTTTATTGCATTAATATATGTTTTTAATAACATCAGCCATATAGTCCCTTGCACTCAAAAGTCTCCTTTCAGGCAAAAGATAACTGTTGTGTTAAAAAAGTGCATTATATTATTTTGTTTTTATTAACACATTGGCTGATTCCCATGAAGGCAAGGTGGCCCAAAAGAGAAAAACTTTCATCATCATTCACACCATCACTGTCTGGCCAGAGGAGTGCTTATACTACAGTTATAAAACTGCAACATTAACACCCCTCCTTCTGAGTGCAGACACTGTACTTCCCATCTCCAGGACTCAAGTCTGGCCTGCTGGTTACTTTGCTCACACTCCAACAGCACATCATGTTTAAAAACTATTTGTCTCCATTCACTCCCATCAAATATGTTAATGCATGTTTGCTGGAAGTCCAAGCCCCTCGCACAAAAAACCTCCTTTATCCCCTCCCTCTAACCTTTCCTAACCTGCCTTCCCTCCACTACAGATATACACACTCTCAAAGTCATTCTTACTTTGTTCTGCCTCTTCATACATGGCGCGAAACCACTACTCAACAACTCCTCCTCAGCCTCTGGATAATTAGTTTTGTTAATCCTGCACCTCCTCCTAATTTCCAAACTACAAATTCTCTGCATTATATTCACACCACACATTGCCCTCATTATATACATGATATTTATCGTGCGCGTATAACTTTTACCTTTTATTAAAAAATTGTATATGCAATGCTGTTATCTCAGGTATCACAATGAAAATGCAAAAGATTTTAACAAATGAAGTTTGTTATATAAATTATTTGTATAAAATAAAATATGCTAGTAGTTTCTCACCTGTTAGCAACTCTGTGGCCCCCAGTTGGCTCTAGTTCTCCCAACAAGATCTTCAATAAAGTAGTTTTCCCAGTACCATTTTCACCAACCTGCAGCAAGAACAGAATGTAAATATGACAAACAATAATTATCAATGTTAGGTAAATGGACACAGATAAAACTAATGTGATATTTTATGCATGGTAGCCGTCTCCCACCAAGGTAGGGTGACCCACCCATCCCTCCTCAAAAAGAAAAAAAAGAACACATTCATGTTCACTCATTCAATAGCTGTCATTCCAGAAGTGTCCATATTTTTATTATCACACTGGCCGATTCCCACCAAGGCAGGGTGGCCCGAAAAAGAAAAACTTTCACCATCATTCACTCCATCACTGTCTTGCCAGAAGGGTACTTTACACTACAGTTTTTAAACTGCAACATTAACACCCCTCCTTCAGAGTGCAGGCACTCTACTTCCCATCTCCAGGACTCAAGTCCGGCCTGCCGGTTTCCCTGAACCCCTTCATAAATGTTACCTTGCTCGCACTCCAACAGCACGTCAAGTATTAAAAACCATTTGTCTCCATTCACTCCTATCAACACGCTCACGCATGCATGCTGGAAGCGTCCAAGCCCCTGCTCCTCAAAACCGCCTTTACCCACTCCCTCCAACTTTCTAGGCCGACCCCTACACCCGCCTTCCTTCCATACTGGATGATTCACTCTTGAAGTTATTCTGTTTGCTCCATTCTCTCCACATGTTCCGAAACCACCTCAACAAACCTTCCTAGCCCTCTGGACAACAGTTTTGGTTATTCCGCCACCCTCCTCATAACTTCCAAACTTCGAACTTATCTGCAATTATATTCACACCTCACATTTGCTCTAAGGACTTGACCTCTCCACTACCCTCCAGCCTTTCCTCGCTGCACATCATCACCATGCTTCACACAATATAAGAGCGTTGGTAAACTATACTCTCATACATTCCCCTCTTTGTCTCCAAGGACAAGTTCTTTGTCACCACAGACTCCTAAGTGCAACACTCACCCTTTTCCCATCATCAATTCTATATTCACCTCATCTTTGATAGACCATCCGCTGACTCTGTCCACTCCCAAATATCTGAATACATTCACCTCCTCCATACTCTCTCCTCCAATCTGATATCCATTCTTTTCATCACCCTAATCTTTTGTTTATCCTCTATAACCTTATCTCGTTCCTGTATTCCTTTCAATTTTCTTACTTTTGCATACCCCATACAAAATTCATCCAACAATCTCTGCAACTTCTCTTCAGAATCTCCCAAGAGCCACAGTTGTATCAGCAAGTGCAACTGTGACAACTCCCACTTTATGTGTGATTCTTTATCTTTTAACTCCACGCATCTTCCAAGACCCTCGCATTTACTTTCTCATACAATCCCCATCTATAAATATATTAAAAACAACACGGTGGACATTCACACATCCTTGTACTAAGGACTATTTTACTGGGAAAATAATTTCCCTCTTTCCTACTGACTCTAACTTGCCTCACTATCCTCGTAAAAACTCTTCACTGCTTTCAGTAACTTCCTCCTACACACCATACACCTGCAACATCTGCCAATGTCCCCCTATCCACCCTGTCATACGCTTTTCCAAATCCATAAATGCCACAAAAAGATCTCTTAGCATTATCTAAAATACTGTTCACTATAAGTTTCACTGTAATCAACTGGTCCACACACCCCCTCCTTTCCTAAAGCCTCTTGTTCATCTGCTATCCTATTCTACGTCTTATAATCTTAATTCTTGCAATAATAACCTTACCATAACACTTTGCCAGGTATACTCAACAGACTTTTTCCCCCTATTATTTTTGCACCTCTCTTTTATCCCCTTTGCCTTTTTACATAGGATAAAACTTTGCATTGTCGCTGCCAATCACTAGGTACATTACCCTCTTCCATACATTTTATTTAATATTGCACAAACCACTCCAAAACTTTATATCCCCTCCTGCTTTTAACATTCTTTCTTTATCCCATCAATCCCGGCTGCCTTACCCCCCTTTCAATTTTCCCTACTGCCTCACAACTTCCCCCCACTCACAACTGGCTCTTCTCACTCCTACAAGATGTTGTTACTCCTTGCCACTATACACGAAATACAGCCTTCCCTTTATTCATCTACATTTAACAAATTCACTCAAAATGTTTCCCTCATCTTCCATATACCTCTAACTCCCATTTAATAATCTCCTCTCCTATTTTTAACTGACCATATCCATTTGTTCTCTAGGCTTTCTTAAATTGTTAATCTCACTCCAAAACTTTTTCTTATTTTTCAACAAAATTTGTTGATATCTTATCACCCACTTCTCTCATTTGCTTCTTTTTACATTGCTTCAACACTCTCTTAACCTCTCTTCTTTTTATCCATATACTCTTCCATCCTTGCATACTTCTACTTTGTAAAAACTTCTCTATGCTAATTTTTCTCCCTTAATACTCTCTTTACTTTCAATCATTCCACCAATCACTGCTCTTTTCCCTCCCGCACCCACTTTCCTGTAACACACAAACTCTGCTGAAACACCAACACTACATTTTTAAACCTATGCACCATAACCTCGTCGACCCCATTGCCTATGCTCTCATTAGCCCATCTTTCCTCCCAATAGTGTTTATTTATATCTTACCCTAACTGCCTCCACTTTTAGTGTATAAACCTTCACCTCTCTCTTCCTGATGCTTCTATTCTCCTTGTATCCCTTACTACCTTTTATCTGGTAGGCTACAACTTAGAAAGTGATCTGATATTCTGTGGACCCTCTATTAACATGTACTCCTGAAGTCTACTCAACAGTCTTTTATCTACCAATACATAATCCAACAAATACTACTGTCATTTGCCCTACATCATATCTTGTTTACTTATTTATCTCTTTTTCTAAACTATGTATTACCTATTCTAAACCCCTTTCTATACAAAGTTCCAATTCAAAGGGCCTACATTATCATTACACCTGGCACCCCAAATTATGTACCACACCTCTCTAAAACGTTTTCCTACTTTAGCATTCAGGTCCCTACCACAATTACTCTCTCACTTGGTTCTTCAAATGGCGCCTATACATTTCAACTAAACATCTCCCCAAAATCTCTCTCTCTCTCCTCTGATTCCTCTCTTCTCCAGGTGCATTACACGCTTATTATTGACCCCCTTCTCGCATCCTACCTTTTACTTTAATCCAACATAATTCTTGAATTTACACATTCATAATTCTTTTTCTCCTTCCATAAATGATCACTTATAATTATACTGTACCCCTTCTTTGCTCTACTTCTCAGATATCCAGAATTAATATCCCATTTATTTCCCCACCGAAACTCCCATACCCTTCGACTTTTGTTTCGCTTAGGGCCAGGACATCCAACTTCTTTTCATTCATAACTTCAGATCATCTGTTTTTTTTTTCCTTTTTTTGGTTTTTTTTCCCATCCGCACTACCATCCACGCCACATTTAAGCATCCCAGTTTTATAAAGTTTTGTCAAACTCTTCTCTTTTTAGTTAATGTCTACAGGAGAAAGGGGTTACTAGCCACTGCTCCATATATCATAATTTACATACCCTCTAAAAACTATCTTATAATCCCACACCTCCCCAATCGCCATCATTCATTTCTTTTTACAATCACCTATAAATATTTTAAAAACAATCAAAGTGACATCTCAATCACTCAAGGCATTCTTTTACTGGGAAAAGGGTTCCCTTTCCTCTTGAACATATCCTAAAAATAAGCATCATTTATCTGCGCAAAAACTACATGAGTTTTAACCTACCCTATTCCATAGTTTGGATCATGTCACAATGCCTACACTATTACGCTCTAATATGTTTTCTATAAAAACATGAATACAACAAACAACTCCTTACCTTTATCTAAATATCACTCAAATGCGTCAATGTAAACACCTGGCTTACACACCCCTTACCTTCCCTAAATCATCCACGTTCCTTTGCAATCCTACTTCATGTACCCTTAATTCTTTCAATAATAATTCTACCATACACTTTGCCTGATACACTCAAGACGTTTATTCCCTTATAATTCTTAAATTCTTTTGTTCTCTTTTCTTTTATACAAAGAACCATGCATGCTATTATTATAATTACATTGTATATATAAAAGGACCTCAATGGAAATAAGTTACTTTGTCTGACTTTTATGGGTTATCCTAGGTCCTCTACATATATGCTGCTATGTATGATAATCTATGTAACTGTATTTGTGTATACCTGAATAAACTTATTTACTTACTTACTTACTTAACTTTTTGAGGGTCCCATCCGATAGTTCTTATGGCTGTGAAGCCAGGGTTCAGCCATGTTCTACGCATGAGCTCTGCTCACCCAAATTAGCTGTAAGCAGTAAATTTGGGCCTAGATATGAGAGAATGCATTTATATGGTGTGTGCACATATAAACAAATCTGCAGCACACAGTGCATAATGAGAAAAAAAAAACTGCGACTGTGTTTTTGGATTAAAACAGCGACTTTGCGGTGTACAGTCATATGTTGTTTCCAGTTGTATTTGTGGCTTCTAAGCCTCATATGATAGAATGGAAGATATATTACAGAAATAGAGATGATTTGATTGATTTTAGTACTGAAAAAGGCTTGAGACTGAGCTCAAAGTAGCAGAAATGTTCAATTTTTGCCAATGTTCAAGAGTAAACAATGACGTCACGCGTCCAATATACATCAACTGGTGGGTCTAATATGCATTCACGAATGTGCTGATATTATTTATACAGTTATTACAATATTGCATAACAGTAAATCTTCTATTTTTTGGCGTGAATAAAAAATCAAAATGGAACTCATCTGTAAAGCCTGGAAACATAACTAATAAACAGAGGAAATGTTATTTTAGTGCCAGGAATGCCTGCATTGCTTATTCTGGACCCTATTTTGAAATTGGAATATTTTGAACTTTGTGTGAAAATGGCCAAATTACCAGTTTCCAATCACTTTATTGGGTAGTTAAAATAGTTGATTAGGTGATTTCTTGTGCTTAATCGATAAAATAGAAGTAATACATGTACACTAGCGAAACAGCTAAGAATTTGGTCGACTGGAATAATTTATCATCAACTTCGTACTTTTTGTTTTATTACCTTCAGAAAGATTCTCTATCATTTCATAAGAAAAAATAAGAAAAAATTGGTTTTTGAAAATTCTAGGACAGTGTGGACAAGTTTTAGATCAGGGGTCTGGACAGTGAAAGGGTTAACTGTTAACCAGTGGATTTTGCCTATAATTTTAAAAGTCCGTTGTAACAAGGGTTTACTGTACAAACACACATAAGAACATGCAAAGTTAAACTAACAAAAAAACTACTCTCACTAACAAACAAGAAAAAATAAATGGCATCACACTAAATTTAAGATAACTTACATCAGTTAAAAAAAAAAAGTAAATTCTTAATGCCCAATGGTTCAACTATATATTTCCCTCTGAGAAAACCCAGCAGTTGGAGGAAAGAATTGTCTTCAATCACAATAATGAAATTACTTACAATACATATTCTAGAATCCATGGCTGCAGACAGATTAACTCCCGAGAATATCGTCATGCCTTTGGTATATTCAAATTGCACTTCATCAAGTTGTAGAATAGGTGTGTTTAGCTTCTCTACTTCAGGGAATTTCAACACCAGTCCTGTTTCTTTCTCAATAGGTTTGAGCTCCGGTCTACAAAATAAGTAATCAGATTATTAAAAGAATACAACATCAATTTTACACACTCAAGTGATTTAAGAAACACTGTAACAATGTTAATTAACACAGAACATGATTTTCTTTCTTATTAAAACAAGAAAGGAATTAAATGAACTGCCGTCCCCACAGGTGTGAGGCAATCACATTACCAAAGTGTCAGAGCGGAGCCAACAGAACCTACTGTATAATAAAGCAGGGATGCAGTGGGCACAATAAGGGAATGTTGTATCATCGTCTGTAGCCTCAGACTATTCAGCATTTTACCAGAGGGCATCAGAAATGCAGCTGAGACAAGTGTAGAAGGCTTCAAGAGGAAATTTAACAAGTATCTTCACCAGGTGTGAGATCAACCAGGCTGTGATGGATATGTGGATCAGCAGACTTCCAGCAGCAACAGCCCAGTTGACCAGGCAAGCTACAGATGAGCCTGGCCTATGGCCAGGCTCCAGGAATAGAAAACCACATACATATATAGAATCCTAAATGAACTGCCACATGCCTAGCATGTGGCAGTTCTTAGAATTTTAGATGCCCTAATTCAATCACTGTTACATAAAATTACACTGTGAGGTCACAGTATAAACAAGTTTACTGTAACAAACTTCAGAAACAGTATTCTAAAAAACTATGTAAAGGAAAAAAAAAACCAGATAAATTACTTACAGTTTCTCAAGCATCTTGATCTTAGACTGCACTAAAGAGGCACGTTTAGCATTGTAACGAAATTTGTCAATAAACTCTTGCACGTGAACTCTGAATTGCATCTGAGCCTCATATTCTCTCTGCTGGTTTTTCTGCCTCTCATTTTTGGTGTTGATAAAGCTCTCATAGTTGCCACTGAAAAATAAGTTATAGATAAAGGATCTTCCAACTAAATATGCTGAATAATAAGTGTGCTTCTGTAAGGAGGAAATCATCTGAAATCTTTAATTTCCATTTTTTTTTTTAGTTACTCTAAAGCCACTTTCATTAATTAGGAGTTGAAAACTGTTGGAAATGTAACTCCCCCACAAGTCTAGGTGTTTAAAATTAAGCCTTCTTTGAGTTACAGACAATCATTTGTAATTTTATGGAAACAGAGGTTAGGTTTGCATGTACAGAGGAGTAAAATAAATATAATGAAAGAATTAGCACAAGATACAATAAAAGTACACCAAGGAGATAGGAATGTAAAAGATTAATAAGTCTTTCTTTCAACACATCGGCTGTATCCCACCAAGGCGGGGCGGCACAAAAGGAAAAACGAAAGTTTCTCCTTTTACATTTAGTAATATATACAAGAGAAGGGGTTATTAGCCCCTTGCTCCTGGCATTTTAGTCGCCTCTTACAACACGCATGGCTTACAGAGGAAGAATTCTGATCCACTTCCCCATGGAGATAAAGAGGAAATAGACAAGAACAAGAACTAGAAAGAAAATAGAAGGAAACCCAGAGGGGTATGTATATATATGCTTGTACATGTATGTGCAGTGTGACCTAAATGTAAGTAGAAGTAGCAAGACATACCTGAAATCTTGCATGTTTATGAAACAGAAAAAAGGACACCAGCAATCCTACCATCATGTAAAACAATTACAGGCTTTCGTTTTACACTCACTTAGCAGGATGGTAGCACCTTTCTGGGCGGTTGCTGTCTACCAACCTACTACCTATAAGATTAATAATTTTTTTTTTTTTTTTTCAACAAGTCGGCAGTCTCCCACCGAGGCAGGGTGACCCAAAAAAGAAAGAAAATCTCCAAAAAGAAAATACTTTCATCATCATTCAACACTTTCACCACACTCACACATTATCACTGTTTTTGCAGAGGTGCTCAGAATACAACAGTTTAGAAGCATACACATATAAAGATACACAACATATCCCTCCAAACTGCCAATATCACAAACCCCTCCTTTAACCCTTTGACTGTTTCAGGCCCCTCTCTGAAACTGTCATTCTATGTCGCTCAATTTTTGAAAAAAAAAAATTATTTTTTCTTATGAAATGATAGAGAATCTTTTCCCAATGGTAATGACACCAAAAGTTCGAAATTTGGTAGAAAACTCATGGAATTATGCTCCCGCGAAGTTAGCGGTCTCGTCAACATATGCGTATCGGCGATTTCGCCGACTTTGAGCCCTATTTTCAGCCAATTCCTTTGTTCCAGTTGACCAAACTCATAGCTATTTCTTTAGAACTCCATTTTATCTATCAGCTGAGTACAAGAAACCTCCCATTTACTAATTTGGACTACCCAATATGGTGGTCCGAAATTGGCAATTTGGCCAATTTCACGCAAACTAAAAAAGATGCCAATTTCAAAATAGGGTCCAGAATAAACAAGGTAGACATTCGTGGCACTAAAATAACATATGCTCTGTTCATTAGTCACATCTCTAGGCCCCTCTTATATTATTATTGCTCTCTATTTTGATTTTTTATTCATACAAAAAAATACAAAATTTACTGTTATGCAGACTACTGCATTATTGTAAAAATGGTGTAAATAATATCAGTGCATGGGAAAAGAATATTAGACCCCCCATTTTGAGTTTTTGGACGTGTTGGGGATTATTTACCCCCTGAACATTGGAAAAAAATCGAACATTTCCGCTACTTTGAGCCGTTTCAGGTCTTTTTTCATCGTCAAATAATAAAAATCATCTCTTTTTCTGTAATAGTTTTCCATTTTATCACCTAAGACTGAAAATGCGAATACAACGAAAAAATACTAACGAAAATACACCTAAAAGTCGGCGTTTTTTCCCAAAAAAAAGGATCGTTTTTTTTTTTTTCATTACGCAAGTGTGTGCGGATTTTTTTTTAGGGGTGCACACTGACCCACGCCCCCCATTCTTCACATGGGGGCCTACCGTTTTCCCCCGTTTGATTTGAACCCCGCTAGAATTATTGGATATTTCGTCAAAAAATTTGGGCTGTAAGAGTATTTATAGTCAAAAACAGTCAAAGGGTTTTAAAGTGCGGGGCATTGTACTTCCCATTTTCCAGGATCAAGTCCGACTATATGAAAAAAACCCTTTTTCCCCTGAATCCTTCATAAATATTACCCTGCTCACACCCCAAAGTTGTCAGGTCCCAAGTACCATCTCTCCATTCCCCCTATCTACATGCCCCACGTTTTGCGGGAAGTCCAACCCCCTTGCCAAAAAAACCCTTTTTTTTTTTTACCCCCTCCCAACTCTTTGAGGACGACCCTACCCCACCTTCCCTTCCCCTAGATTTTTATGTTTTCCCATGTCATTTACTTTGTCCATTCTCTCAAAAACCAAACCACCTTAAAACCCCCTTCTGCCCTCTGATAATACTTTTTTTAACTCTACACCTTTCCAAATTTCCACACTCCGAATTTTCTGCATAATATTTACACCACACATTCCCCTTTAAAACAGTACATCTCACTGCCCCAAACCGTCTCCTCGCTGCGCATTTCCCACCAAGCTTCACACCCATTAAGGTTTTGGGGTAATATACTTTCATAAAATTCCCTTTTTTGCTCCATAGATAACTTTTTTGACTCCCAAAACCCAACGCACCACTCCCCTTTTTTCCCCTCATCAATTTTGATTAACCTCATCCTTCAAAAATCCACCGGCACTCCTCCCAAGTATTGAAAACATTCACTTTTTCCCATGCTCCTCCCCCCAATTTGAATCCAAATTTTTCTTTATTAAATCATTTGATACCCCATCCCCTTACCTTTTCTTGTTTACTTTCAATTTTCACCTTTACACACTTTCCCAACTCACCCATTTAACCCTTTTGAATTTTTCTTTAGTTTCCCCCTAAGACAGTATCATCAAAAAAGTAATTAGTTTCCCCAAACTTTAATCCCATCCCCCCCCCGAACACCCTAGCATTTATTTCCCTTTTTAAAAAACCCCCATATAAAATATTAAACAACCTGGTGACATTACCACCCTGTAAAAGCCTACATTTCCCGGGGAAGTAGCTCCCTTCTTCTAAAAACCCTAACTGACTCACTATCCTCATAAAAACTCTTTACAGCATTTAATTTTTACCACCTATTCTATTTGCAACATCTCCCACATTGCTCCCTATCCACTCTTCATATGCCTTTTCTAAAATCCATAATGCAATAAAAACTTCCCTCCCTTTATCTAAATATGTTCCAATAATTTTAAGAAAACTTGATCTACACTCCCCTCCCCACTCAAAAACCCTCCTTGCTCATCCGAAATCCTACATTCGTCTTACCTTAATTCTTTCAATTATAACCCAACGTACATTTTTCCTTATACTCATCTTAAAATTTTTTAGCCCTTTTTTTGTCCCCTTTCCCTTTAAAAGGGGGACAAACATGCCTCCGCCAATCCCTGGTACCTTCCCCCTTTCATGTTTTTAAAAGTAACCTATTAAATAATTTTAAACTTTAAACAAATGTAAAAACTATTTTTTTTTTTTTTTATTATTTTTAATAGTTACTATTATGAAATACTAAAGTCATAAAGGCATTTAGACAATAATAAATCAGCTTAATCCTCTTTCAAAACGGGGGACAGACTGCCACTTTTGAATGTATTTGCCTAGTTCAATGCAACAGAATAAAGAAAAAAGATCATGCTTAAACTCACCGATAAATATCATGTTTTGCGAATGTAATGTAAAACACTGTGGGCTATATCAAAAAAGTGGCGTCATGAGAGATCCCGCAAAGTCGTTTCCCCAACCCAAGAGGTAGTTTTCCCCAACCCAAAAATGGCCCTTTAATCCAAACATGTTAGTAGGCCATAAAAAAAACAAATTGGTCTGTAAAAATAAAGATTTTTTGTATGTATTTTTATTTAAAGATTTTAAAAAAAAACATTTTTTCCAAGTAAATTGTCATGTTTAGAACTTAAACCTGTAAAGGTAGTATAAGGTTATTAAAAAAAACCCCATTTAATACATAAAAAATTGGGGAAACATTTGTGATGAGGATGGTTGACGGGTACCAAATATATCAATATTTCATACTAATTTGAAAGGAAGGGTTTAAGCAATACCTGAATTGTGTTAAAGTGATTTAAAATGCTCACTGAAAGGGAAAAAATCTAATTTGTCAGGAGTAAACTTTTTAAGTTTAAAAGAATGAGGTTTATAACTCCCGTCAATTAAAATGCAAAAGCAACTTGCGAGGGGGTAAAGATTAAGATAAAATCCACAAAAAAGGGAGATTTAGTTTTGGAAACCCTTGGTAAAAAAAGAAATTTTGAGAGCAGAAAATAATAAAAAAAAAATTTAAATTAAAGGAATTTTGTCTTGAAAAAATTTCCAAGGTCACTTAAAAAGGGTACTTCATGGCCCTTAAAAGTAACTTAGGTAATCCCTTTTAAAAATGGGGAGATGGGATGTATATACTACATATATTTAATGATCGTTTTACCCCTTAAGTAACACATCTTTCACTATAACTAACACAGATTTTGCTCCCCCCATTTTTTCACCTTTATCTCTTTCCCAAAATGTTTCCTATTCTCAGCAAAGAAATGTTACTTTCGAGAGAAAAGCGCTCTTGCTAAAGCTTTTTCATTCTCCCTCCGCCCGAGAACTCACTTGTTTTTCTTCTCTGCATTTCAGGATTAAAACCCAAACCATTCAAGATGACAAGCCTTTGGGTGGTGCCTTATCAGCTTTAATGGCCGCAGCTCAATAAACCTCCCAAGCTGAGTTGAAAATGTTTTTTCCGGTTTACTGTTCAAAACAGAGAAAAACATTCCAACGATCCACCAGTGTATAGTAACTGTAAATACTGTGCAAAACTTAGCAGTGCAGGGGGGCCCCCCTTACACAGCAAGCAGGTTCCCGGGTATGCTATAAAGCAAAATCCTGTAAAGTAAAAAAGCCCCTTTTTACTTTCAAAAGTTTCACATATTATTTGGTAGCAACAGAGTAGGACAAAAATTAAATAAACAGTACCAAT